CAAGCACTGGGGACTACAGAGAAAGCATGCCTGAAGCTCCTACACTAACCTCCCGCTGCCCAAGCCTGCTCCTGCCTCTTCCAAGTTTCAAAACAAATGGGAAACAGAAAGAACAAGAGGAGATCATCTTCCTGGGCTTCCACCAGAAGCGAGACACCTGTAAGAGATCTTGGCACACAAACCCAAGCAGCAGGCTGTCCTGGGAGCATGAGGAAGAAGGCAGAATTCAAGGAACAGGAGGAAAACCACAATACAGAAAACCCAACCTGGTCCTCCACCAGCTGGACACACCTGGCTGGGAGAGACCCAACACTTAAATCAATACCCCCAGGCAATCCTTGCACTGCTCCCCTGGCCTTCCCCCTCAACCCTCCCGCCTCGAAGTCCAAAGAGCCCAGAAGTGAAAAGAAAAACCAAACCCAAAAACCTAGGAAGCAGGATCTACATCTCCCTTCAGCGATTTGCAGATGTTAATATTTGGGCAGGGGCAGGTCAAAAGCCACAGGGCACCAGCAACGGCACCAGTAAGGGCTGCGAAAGACTTTGCCTCCCACAGACAGAGCTCTAGATTGGAAAAACAAGTAAAGTTCAGGAATTCAGTGGCTGCCAGGCCCTGCCTTTCTATTGTATTTTGTTTAAATAGCCCTCACCTCCCAACTCATGAGCATCGGGCTGAGCGAGGAAAGCCCAGCCTAAGCAAACACGAACAGCAAAGAAGGAAACGCTTCCCCAAAAATTGGTGCCTGAACTTGTTTTGCAATGGAAAGGACGCGTTTAAAATATTCATACTTCAGCCACAGAGGGAAGAAAGAGCAAAAGTGAAATATATAGGGGGGGAAAAAAAGCACATAGGCAGCGAGAGCAGAGCTCTTCTCTTGGAGATTTTCGGCGTGGGTGCTAGCGGAGCTCCGGGCGACGGCCGCCCGCCCGCAGCACCTCCCAGGAGGAGCTGGGATTTCTGTCAGGGCTGCGTCTGCGGGGCAGGCGAGGTCCCACAGTGGACGGAGGGCCTGGAGTCCACGGCTCAACAGCGGCGGGCTGCCGCAGCCCA